GAAACATGTATATTATCTAGGGTGAAACAGATCACCAGCCCAGGTTGGGTGCATGAGACAAGTGATTGGGCCTGGTGCACTGGGAAGACCCAGAGGGATCGGGTGGAGAGGGAGGTGGGAGGGGGGACCGGGATGGGGAATACATGTAAATCCATGGCTAATTCACCTCAATGTATGACAAAAACCACTGCAATGTTGTAAAGTAATTAGCCTCCAACTAATAAAAATAAATGGAAAAAAAAAAAAAAACACAACTCATCTGTCCACCCTTCAAACCTGGAAAGTCAGGCAGGGCCCGTCTCTGTGGCTGCAGACATGCACAGGAATGCACGACCATGGAGCTCAGAGTCAAGGAAACACAGCATTCAATTATTCACCCATTCATCAGTCAACAGATACAAGTATTCGGGCCCACTGGGCACTGGCTGGACACAGCAGATGCCACAACAAACAAGAGGGTTTCTGTGCTTCCAGGAGCCCACTGGACTTCAGCAGGAAATACACGTGCCCAAGGTGTCCTTTCCAGAGTATAAAGGAAATACAGCCTCTCACTGGCCACTCTTTCAATGGAAAAAGAAAAGAAAACAGTCTAGATGGATAGATACCAAAATGCAAAAACAGTGCATATCTCTCTGGATAAAGGGAATACACTAGTTTATAAAGTATTTTTATATGTTTCCATACTTTCTTCAAAATTTCATAAATATATACTCCATTTATAACCATTACAAAAAAAAAAAAAACACATACAATATCCATTTTGAGGGGCAGGGCTCAGTAGTGGGAGATTCCACTGTTAACAAGCGCCCGGAACTCAGGTCCACAGTTCAGGAGTACACCATCATCACTGAATCAAATAACCAAGAGAAGGGTTTGTAACCTGCATGGACAATAAAATCCAGCGATAGGGCCATCTCCTAACTAAGTAATGTCTTCTTCAATCATGTCTTGGGAATGCTGACAGGTCTAGGAACTCCACGTGATACAGTCAAGAAGTCCCTGAGGCCAGGAAAAACACTGCTGGGCAGCATGTCTTCCCTTTAAGACAGAAAACTTGAGCAGCCAGCTTCTTACCTCTTGTACTTCTCAAGAAGATGTTTTGCTTGCTCTTCAGCAAAGAGAACCCCAGCAGGGCAATCTGGGAAATCGTCTGGGACATTAGGCGACCTTTTATACTGAGAATGTACTGAGGTTTCTTTTAATCCTCCGACTCTTGCACCTCGATAGATCTAGAAGAAAGGCCAGAAAGATTCTGTCATCATACCAACTTACATGGAAACTGCTGAATTCTTTGTATGTGGAAAGTGGGAAACCTAAATACCCATCAAAAAGAGAATGGATAAATACACTGAGGAATTACTCTACAATGAGTTACCATACAACAGTAAAAATGAATGACTTAGAACTTCATCAATCATCATGGAAAAAAAAAATGTTGAGTGAACAGAGCAAGTAAAAACATGTCAAATTTAGCTATTTTTTAATTTTTTTACTAAAGGATAATTGCTTTACAGAATTTTGTTACTTTCTGTCAAACCTCAACCTGAATCAGCCATAGGTATACATACACCCCCTCCCTTTTGAACTTCCCTCCCATCTCCCTCATCCCACCCCTCTAGGTTGATACAGACCCCTGTTTGAGTTTCTTAGCCATATAGCAAATTCCCGTTGGTGATCTGTTTTACATATGGTAATGTAAGTTTCCATGTTACAAATTTAGCTATTTTAGTTTGGGATACATACACACACAATTAATAAACTATAAAAACATGCATGATAGCAACAAACACCAATAGGGCCAGTGATTCCTTTGGAAGGAGAGAAGGAAATGGGATTGGAGAGGGATACAGAGTGCTTCCAATGACCCTTTAATGGCTTATTTCTTAAGCTGGACAATACACAAGTGTCACTTTCTGTATATTTGAAACAGTTCATAAGTTTAAAGTTATCTTTAAAAATAACCCCACTCCTAAATGATTAAATATCTTTTTCACTATGCATAAGGACTAAAATTAATTGCCTGCATGAATCTAACAGTCCTACTTGTCCTTTATGTTCTCAAAGTAATTATTTAAACTAACCAGGAAAACTCAAACACACATTACAGTTTAAAAAAAATTTTTAGCTGCAGTTAATAAAGAGGAATATATGGATCAACACAAAAAACAATTGTACTCTACACATCTATAAAAATTAAATATTTTGCTTTTAAACTATAACACATTTCAAGTAAAAACAGAAACAAAAAACCTCGTTTGTTGCCACTACTACTCAACAATCAGGCCACTTTTAAAACCTCAAAAGTTCACCAAGTGTCAGCACAACTCTTACTAATGAACCTGGCTCCAGGGACTTTATGAAATTATCTCTTATCCAAGATTATAGCTCAAAGGGCAGAAAACTAGCACTCAATTTCTAGGCCCTGAATCAAGTCAGGAACATTTTCAGCACTTGGCACTCCCTAAGAATGTATCTTGAATGTTGTAACTGTTAGTCAGTATCAGAAGAGTCACTTACAAATGGAATCCAGAACGCCATGCCCCAGCCCTTTGGGAGCAGGACATCCCAGCCGCTTCCCCAGCCTCGCTGGTCATCACCCGTCACTTTTCCTGGTTGTTGAATCAAAAGTATAGGAACCTTGGATTCATGGGGACCTAAAAAAAGTTGTGACCCGGGCACCAGCAATTCACTCCTCTTCCGGTTTAAATCCTGAAGTAGAAGAAAATAATTCAAGACAAATAACTCTAGTCTTCTGGGAGATCCTACTGGGTCTCCCTATAAGCAGCTTTAGAAAGTTAAACACTCTTTTAGGAAGAAAGCATTCTCAATAAATAAATGTGAGCCATTTTAAGTACAGAGTACTCCTCCCAGGATGGTTTTCCTCCATAGAATTGCTTTGGTAGAAAATGCCACATTGTCTTAAATTTGGTCTAGAATATACTAGATGATTAACGTTCTAAAACAACACACACTCTTTCTGCTCATTTCTTATATCAGGATTAATCTTATATTTTAACACTCTTACATTTACTTTGGTTAAGATTGGAGGTCATGGAGTAAAGGAAGTATGAATAATTAACAATTTCTCAAGGGAAGCAAGTTGGATAATACTCCAGCTCCTTGAGAAAATTTCTCATCAGGTCCTAAAACAGAAGATGCTACAAATTATCTGTCAGGTGGACTGGAGGGAGTGGGTAACAACATCCTATCAGATTTTTCTTGCCAGCTGTCAAAGCAGATGAGCAGGTGTGAGAGGCCTGCCACTCGACTGAGAAGACCACAGCAGAGACCACCTCCACCAGCGACAGAGCTTAACTCAGGAACGCCCTGCATGCAGGACCAAGTCTTGGGTCTTCTTTTTTTAATCCTTAGTGATTCCAAAGTATATATGTCTATAGCCCCAGTGTTTCCTCCTGAGATAGACACCTGTCTCCTGGACATCTGCTCCTGGGACAGCTCAAGGCCTTTCAAACCCGGTTTATCGGAGATTGAGCTCATCTGCCCTGCTGTGTCCCTCTCTTCCACTGTGCCCCAGCCAGCAGGACGTACAGTCCTCACAGCTCACTCACTCATTCATCATCCTTTCAAATATTTACTGTTCATCCATTTACTCATTCATTCAAATATTTCCTGAGCACTTGTGATACACCAGGCACTTTGCTAGCGCTTGGGAAGACAAGAGCGACAAGTCAGACCTGGCTCTGGCTCTCTTTCAGCTGAGCTCTTAAATCCAAGCTAGACCCCTGGAAGCTAACCCACAAGCCTTCTTTCTCATGTCCCATCTTCCAATCAACCGCTGAGTCTTGTCAGTTTTACTCCCCAGCCCCTCCACTCCAGCTGCCCAGACACACTTCAGGCCCCCACCATGCCATCTGGACTATTTTAAGGATCTCTTTTAAGGCCATCCAACCACATGTCCTCTCTCCAGCTCCTCAGGCCCCCTCTTCCCCATCCCTAGTCTCCACAACACTGCCAGAGTGAAATCTAATCATGTCATGGCCAAGTTTAAAATCTTCAATGGCCTCTACATCTTCAGTCCAAATGCAAAGATGCCTCAAGGTCTTTTACACTGGACCCCCATTTTAATCTCTTCAGTTCTATCTCCTGCCTCACCCTTAACTCTAAGATACTGATCCACTTGGAGATTCCTGAACAGCTCACCCTGTTTTTGGTCTGGGCCCTTGCCCTTCCCCTCAACTTGGACAATCGTTTCTCCACTGTAGCCTTGACTCCTGGCTCCTGACCCCAAGAAGTCTGGTTAATTCTGACCATCCACCTAAGAGTTAGCTCAAATACCGGCTTCTCCATCTGGGAAGCTTTCCCTAATTTCCCTAGTCCCGGCTCAGTACCCATTCTTTGGGCTTCCTTCGTACTCTGTACTTCTTCAACTGTATCCTAGGCATTTGCCCCATCACTGAATACAATACCTGGTGCTGGCAGGAGCTCAATCATTGTGAGATTACAGACCGAGAACATTTAAGGGGAAAAACATAATGAATGAAAAACATATTTAAACCACAAGACTATCATTTTCAAGAAAAAGTCTCTGTATTCATTTTTTCTAGAGATTATTCTTCTCTAAAACAGAAAAAAAAAATCATTGTTTATATCATTAAGTAAGGGATCAAAAGTCTAAAAATAAAAGGAAGTCTATGGGCATCTATAAAGTATGAAATAACTTTCATGGTCTCTAAAGTGATGAATTTCAACCTGTTTTCATGACTCTACCATTAGTTACCTGATCCGAGATTTTATTCTCTGTGACACTCTTAGAGATATCTTGGTTCCAGAGAAAGCTATGCGAACACTCCACGGGCACACCCTCCAGAAGCAGCTGTCTAACTTTCTCATTATCTAAGAGGGAAAAGAAACAGCCTTAAACCACATTCTTTAATTTAAGTCAGTAAGGGTCAAATTCTAAATAACGCTAGAGGACTTTCTGTTAGAGGAAAATATTCTACAGGCATTTACTTCTCTAGAGAATTTATTTACTTGAATAGAAACTGTTACTCTTACAGTTGGTTTCATAATCTGTGAAACAGCACAGGCTCCTAAACTTACTTGACATTTATTTTTAGTGTATAAGATGCAAATATTACATTAAATTTCCTCGAAATAACTGCCTGATTCCACAGGGAAGATAATCAAATTCTAGGCATCACTGCAGAGGCGAAGAACCACTTCTTGATCATACTCTCTGATTGCACAAGTTATATTTTAACTACAGGCTTCAGGGCTCTTTATATCATCTCTGACCCAAAAGTCCTGAGCTAACAGATACCATCCTTTTTTTCTGTCCTTTTATTTCAAGTCTCTAACAACCCTATTTTTATTGAACTGAGTGAATTCCCTTTCTGTAAAACGTATTGCTCTCATTCCTTTCAAATGAATATATTTTCTGTGAACTATGTTGTTTCATTCCTTTAAACGAGCCACACCGGCCAAAAAAGTACTCCAGTGGGAAAGGGGGAGGAATTGTTTCAGTTATAAACATGCATATTGATAGAAGAGATATCCTATATGCAATTATTTAAACACTAGGGGGAAAAATATCTTTCAGATTTTGTTTTGTTGGACTGAAGAATTAGAAGAAAAAAAAGAAAAAAAAAATCAGACAATTCATGGGTTTAGGTTAAGGTCCTAAAATGCCAACACAAAAGATCACTCAACAGAACATACCCACATGGGTCTGATGGCTGAAAAAGAAAAGAAAAAGTTGGAAGTGACTCTGCAGTTGTGATGTGCTGAGATTGTGAGACTGGTGGTCAAGACGGTTCAGAAGACCCTGAAGTCACTTCCTCACGTGGGCACAGGACAATCACAACTGTTTACAGAGCAACTATGTATGAGAACATCTTGAAGACTAGCAGGAGAGACTTCCTATAGGTAAAGAAAATAAAGAAGGAACTGGAGAGGAGAGGTAGAGAGAGACCTGGTAGAGTCAAGCCACACACTCCCCGGGCTAGGCGGGCGGGGTAGGTGACCCACAAAACACAGGAGGAGAATCACAATTACAGAGTTTTCCCAAAAGAGCAAAGGGCCCAAGCTCCACATCAAGTTCCCCAGCCTGGGGGAGCTGTATGGAGAGGATGAGCTCACAGAACATCTGGCTTTGAAGGCCAGGTGGGATTGACTACAGGACAGCTGGAGGATTACAGGAAACACAGACCCCACTCTGAAAGGGTGCACACAAAATCTACATGCTCCAAGAACCAGTACAGAGGAAGCAGTCTGAAAAGAGCCTTTACTTGCTGATTTTAAAGTTTCCCAGAAAGGCAGGAGGCAACTGGGCGTCCTCCTGGGGACACCGATCTGGCAAGGATGTGGATAGAAGGGAATCCTCATGCTCTGTTGGTAGGAATGTCAACTGGTGCAGCCACTGTGCAAAACAGAATGGAGGCTCCCCCCAAAAATGAAAAATCAAACTACCACACAATCTAGCAACTCTGTTTCGCGGTACATTTTCAAAGAAAATAAAAACACTCAATTGAAAAGATATGTGCACCACCTATGCTCACTGCATCAATTATTTACAATAGCCAAGGTATGGAAGCTACCTAAGGGTCCATCAACAGACGAACAGTTAAAGAATATGTGGTACATATACAATGGAATTCTACTCAGCCATAAAAAAGAATGAAATTTTGCCATTTCCAACAACATGAATGGACTTGGAGGATATTATGCTAAGCCAGACAGAGAAAGCCAAATACCAAATGATATCGCTAATATGCGGAATCTAAAAAACAAAACATAAGACAGAAACACAGTCATAGATACGGAGAACAAACTGGTGGTTGCCAGAGGGGAGATCTGTGGAGGGATGAATGAAATAGTTCAGAGAGATTAAAAGACACGAACTTCCATTTATAAAATAAATAAGGCATGGGGATGCAATGTACAGGACACAGGATATAGCCAATGATATTGAAATAAATCTGTATGATGACAGATGGTAACTAGGCTTATCTTGGTTATCATTTTGTAATGTTTTTTCAAGAAAGACTTTAATTTTCTCTGAACTGATTTATATTAAGATCATACCACTCTAACAGCAGAAAGTGAAGAGGAACTAAAGAGCCTCTGGATGAGGGTCAAAGAAGAGAGTGAAAAAGCTGGCTTGAAACTCAACATTCAATAAACTAAAGATCACGGCATCCAGTCTCATCACTTCATGGCAAATAGAAGGAGAAAAACTGAAAACAGTGACAGATTTTATTTTCTTGGGCTCCAAAATCACTGCAGACAGTGACTGCAGCCATGAAGTTAAAAGATGCTTGCTCCTTGGGAAAAAAGCTATGACAAACCTAGACAGCATGTTCAAAAACAGAGACATCACTTTGCTGATAAAGGTTTGTATAGTCAAGCTATGGTTTTTCCAGTAGTCATGTATGGATGTGAGAGTTGAACCATAAAGAAGGCTAAGTGCCAAAGAACTGATGCTTTTGAACTGTGGTGCTGGAGAAGATTCCTGAGAGTCCCTTGGACTGCAAGGAGATCAAACTAGTCCATCCGAAAGGAGATCAGTTCTGAACATTCCTTGGAAGGACTGATGCTGAAGCTGAACCTCCAATACTTTGGCTACCTGATGCAAAGAGCCAACTCATTGGAAAAGATCCTGATGCTGGGAAAGATTGAAGGCAGGAGCGGAAGTGGGTGGCAGAGAATAAGATGGTTGGATGGTATCATCAACTTAATGGACTTGAGTTTGAGCAAACTCTAGGATATAGTAGACTGGGAAGCCTGGTGTGCTACAGTCCATGGGGCTGCAGAGTTGAACACAACTTAGCAAATGAACAATGAAAGCCTTAGAAAGAATTTAATACATAACTGCCTTTTCCCAAAACTGGTACAGACACTATGGAGAACAGTATGAAGATTCTTTAAAAAACTAAAAATAGAGCTACAATATGATCCAACAATCCCATTCTTGAGCATACACCCAAAGAAAATCATAATTCAAACAGATACATGCACCCCAATGTTACTGCAGCACTGTTTACAATACCTAAGACATGGAAGCAACCTAAATGTCCATCAACAGAGGAATGGATAAAGAAGATTTGGTACAAATATAAAGGGAATATTACTCAGCCATCAAAAAGAACAAAATAATGCCATTTATGACAACATGGATCGACCTAGGTACAGTCATACTGAGCAAAGTAAGACAGAGAAAGACAAATATTATACGATATAGCTTATATGTGGAATCTCAAAAAAAGGCCACAAAAGAACTTATCTACAAAACAGAAGTAGTTACAAATGTAGAAAATAAATTTATGGTTATGGGGCTGGAGGGAAAGAGGGGAGGAATAAATTGGGAGACTGGGATTGACACATATACACACTACTGTATATAAAATAGATAACTAACATGGACCTACTGTAGAGCGAAGAGTACTCTACGCAATCCTCTGTAATGGCCCATATAGGAAAAGACTCTTGAAAACAACGGATATACGTATATGTATGTGGCCAGCTGCAGTCCATGGGGTTGCAAAGAGTCGGACACAACTGAGCGACTGAACTGAACTGAACGTATATGAATAACAAATTCACTTTGCTGTACACCTGTAATTAATAAAACATTGTAAATCTATACCCTAATAGGAATTTTTAAAAATTATTCCAAAAAAGGATTTGAGGCAGCAAGACAGACTAAGTAGAGTTCAACTGCAGTTTTGAGACCGTTCTGACAGTCAACAACTATCAGTGTAGTAGATGCTCTTTTACGGTTGTACCCAACCATACTGCTATTAAAAAAGAAAAGAAAGAGCCAACAATTCAGCGATTAAAGTGTTAGACTCTCTAATTAACTAACTTACCTATATATCTTAAATTCCTCTTTCATCCAATCCACCTTTCATGTTAAGGTTCTGGCAGAGTACTGTACTGCCCCCTTAATAAGCTATCTACCTACTTATGAAGGTAAAAAAAAAAACAAATCTCAAGTTGTTACTACACACACCAGTATCTTTTCTCCCAAAACTGACAGACTGATTTTAATTATTCTTCCAATTAACTGGGCTTAAATGACAGTAAACACAGTGAGACATTATCACAATTGTGCAGATCAGACTAAGATTTTAGCCAGCCCCCACCCACCCCCAACCACGTCCCCAAAGAAACCCCCACAGGCCACGCTACTGACTCTAAGCCGAGACCTCTTACCCTTCAGCACCTGGGATGGCCTTGCCAGGATTCGAACCTGGGTCATCTGTATGGTCAGACAGAGGCTTCCAAAGAGCACAAGACCAGCTGCGGGTGCGGGTCCCTTCCTCACAATTAAAATTCTGAAAAGCCAGGCATTTTCAGAGAACCCCGTTTGCAGAGGCAGGTTTTTACTAGATATTGAAAATAGAGAACTCAGGGGAAAAAATGAACATAAGGATCAGGATACACGTTTACAGCTAAAGATACTTCCTGATACACCATTTCCTTTTATCATGATCACCTTGAAAAGGTAGGCAAGTAAAAAGATGGCCTGAAATTTTCTACAGATAAAGTTACTGTAGAAGTTGTCACTGGTGGAATTCTTCTAATGGGACTGACTAGTCAGAATGGTTGTTAAGGAAAACCAGGGTTGTCTCAGGAACTTTACCTTGGCATTTTTCTGGATTGGGCAAAACTTTGGACCTCTTTTGAGGCAGATTTATTCGTGGATCACCAACCGTCAGTCCCAGAATAGTACCTGCTGGAATTTCTGCTGGTGATGTTATTCCTTTAGCAACAAAACAAAATGCAAACAGGAAGTTATTCACAAATACATACATATTTTGCTTTCATTTTCAAATGTTTCTAATGAAATTTTCATCTTGGGCTGATATTATAAAAACACACATTCCCTTTTATCTTCCCAATGATACTTTCAGAGAATAAATTAACATTCATAAAGAGGGAAGCTTTACCAAAAACATTAAGTTAACATTACAGGTCATTTTACAACATGAACATGGATATTCCTATCAATAACTACAGGAGCTTTACATACAAATGCAATCATGTGTGGGTACGTAAGATTTCAGTTTAGTAGCTGGTATATGCATTTAAATATAGTAGCGGAATACCAGTTATTTATTTAAAATACTAACATCTCATTTGTGCTTCTTGCTGTATTTTAACAGTTCCAAAGTAAAAAGCACCACTACATTGAGGTAGCTCAGCTGCAAGATGCTCTTTTAACCCAGTTCCCACTCCTCCCATCTTCCCCAGTACGACCGTGTTCCCCCGTATGCATGCTGAGTGCTAAGTTACTTCAGTCGTGTCTGATTCTTTGTGACCCTATGGACCGTAGCCCTCCAGGCTCCTCTGTCCAGGGCATTCTCCAGGCAAGAGTACTGCAATGGGTGGCTGTGCCCTCCTCCAGGGGACCTTCCCAACCAGGGATCAAACCCGCATCTCTTACGTCTCCTGCACTGGCAGGCGGGTTCTTTACCACTAGCGCCACCTGGGAAGCCCCGTTCCCCCGTATACCTCCCAGCAAGTCAAAAATGGCTGCTTGTCTGCGATGAAGGGAAACACTATCAGGATTCTTGCAGCTTTCAATCCACCAACGGTGAGGTGTCTTCTCCATGTCCTCTCCCTCCTAGAAAACAACAACTCCTGTTCACCAGACCCACAATGGGTCAGGCTTAATAATTTTGATTAAAACGTTTGTGCTACTGGCCTCCATCCTTACATCCTCGTTTCTTAGAATGAATGTTTCTGGAGAGGAACCAGGGAAACTGTCACATCAGACTAACAACTCTTCTAACCAAAGACAAGGATGTAGGACTATGATTCTCTCAAGAGTTCATACACTAAGAAGAATATCTGCGTTTTCTGAGAGACTACCTGACTAACGTACCACACGCCTGTGGTCTCCGGAGCATAGCGCCAACACGAGAGACCTTGCTCCTTGCTCTTCTCCCAACACTACCAACCTCATCGCCAGACTAAGCAATACAATTTTCCTCACTGAAGAAAAACCAAAACAAAACCCCTTTTGAAGAAATCTTTAGCAAAGGAAGATATTACTACTATAGTATTTCTAGAAATTTCAAGAAATAATGTATTTTACTTGCCTTTTTTTTCTGAACAGAACTAGGAACTGAGGTTTCAAACAGCACTTCGAGTACCATATGCATGCCCGGGAAGAGAACTTTACAGCTGTGATTCATACCAAAGTTTGCTGAAGGGGGATGTTCCCCTACAGAATCTAACCTATAATATTTATTCATTGAGCCCTTTACCTCACAGAAACTCAGGTAGCACGTGGTTCAAAGTACAGACCCTGGAACCAAACTTGGAAGGTTCAAATCCTCCCTCTGCAACTTACTAGCCAGTGTGGAATGCCTAGTCAGCACCAGGCACTGCACTGAGCCTAGGGCACAGAGTCAAGAAGAGGACTGCCCCGAGCCTGCCAGCATGAAGCTCAGAGTCTTAAGACACGGACATCGCAAAGACATGTGAACAAATCTAGATGTAAAAACTGAGGAACGGCGCAAGACGGAATGAAAACAGCAGCAAGGATTTAATTGAACTTGGAGATCAGGAAAGAATTCTAGAGGAAAGTGATATAGATGTTGAAACCTTTAGACTCAGCAAGGCGGGTTCTTTACCACTAGCGCCACCTGGGAAGCCCCGTTCCCCCGTATACCTCCCAGCAAGTCAAAAATGGCTGCTTGTCTGCGATGAAGGGAAACACTATCAGGATTCTTGCAGCTTTCAATCCACCAACGGTGAGGTGTCTTCTCCATGTCCTCTCCCTCCTAGAAAACAACAACTCCTGTTCACCAGACCCACAATGGGTCAGGCTTAATAATTTTGGTTAAAACGTTTGTGCTACTGGCCTCCATCCTTACATCCTCGTTTCTTAGAATGAATGTTTCTGGAGAGGAACCAGGGAAACTGTCACATCAGACTAACAACTCTTCTAACCAAAGACAAGGATGTAGGACTATGATTCTCTCAAGAGTTCATACACTAAGAAGAATATCTGCGTTTTCTGAGAGACTACCTGACTAACGTACCACACGCCTGTGGTCTCCGGAGCATAGCGCCAACACGAGAGACCTTGCTCCTTGCTCTTCTCCCAACACTACCAACCTCATCGCCAGACTAAGCAATACAATTTTCCTCACTGAAGAAAAACCAAAACAAAACCCCTTTTGAAGAAATCTTTAGCAAAGGAAGATATTACTACTATAGTATTTCTAGAAATTTCAAGAAATAATGTATTTTACTTGCCTTTTTTTTCTGAACAGAACTAGGAACTGAGGTTTCAAACAGCACTTCGAGTACCATATGCATGCCCGGGAAGAGAACTTTACAGCTGTGATTCATACCAAAGTTTGCTGAAGGGGGATGTTCCCCTACAGAATCTAACCTATAATATTTATTCATTGAGCCCTTTACCTCACAGAAACTCAGGTAGCACGTGGTTCAAAGTACAGACCCTGGAACCAAACTTGGAAGGTTCAAATCCTCCCTCTGCAACTTACTAGCCAGTGTGGAATGCCTAGTCAGCACCAGGCACTGCACTGAGCCTAGGGCACAGAGTCAAGAAGAGGACTGCCCCGAGCCTGCCAGCATGAAGCTCAGAGTCTTAAGACACGGACATCGCAAAGACATGTGAACAAATCTAGATGTAAAAACTGAGGAACGGCGCAAGACGGAATGAAAACAGCAGCAAGGATTTAATTGAACTTGGAGATCAGGAAAGAATTCTAGAGGAAAGTGATATAGATGTTGAAACCTTTAGACTCAGCCAAGAAGAGGGGTAGAGACAGAAAATTCAGACAGTCTCAAAGGGACGTGAGATCTGACACATTCTAGAACCAGGAACCACTGGAAGAAGCCAGTGTGGCTGAAGCGCCGAACGTGAGAAGAGATAAGGCCAGACAGGCATGGAGGCACAAGATCACCAGTCAAATTAAGGGCTTTGGATTTTTTTTTTCTCACATACAATGAGAAGCTATCCAAAAGCTTTGAATCAGGAAGTAGCTCGATGAGCATAAATTGCTAAAATGGGGCTACCCTGGTGGTCTAGTGGTTAAGATGTCTGCTTGCCAATGTAGGGGACATGGGTTCGATCCCTGGTCTGGGAAGATCCCACATGCCCTGGGGCCACTAAGCCTGTGTGCTCTGCAACAAGAGAAGCCCCCATAAAAAGTCTGTGCACTGCAACTAGAGAGCAGTCCCTGCTCACTGCAACAAGAGAAAAAGCCCGCACAGCGACAAAGACCCAGTGCAGCAAAAAATAATAAATGAATTAATTAAAAAAAAAAAAGAAAATTACACTTCACTTTCCTTTGGAAAAAAAAACAAAAAATTGCTAAAATATCACTTTGCCTCCTGTGTGGAGAAAGGAGCCAAAAATGGGAACAATGAAAGAAAGCTGAGAAGCTTCTTCAGGACCCAGGACAGAGATGACAGAGACTAGTGAGGAAACAGCGAAGAGACAGAGGTCGCCTTTGGTTTTTAAAGTATCTGTCTTCCAGCAGCTCAAACTCTGATTGGCTCTATCACTGTATCAGACATGTCCAATCGGCAAGAGGCACGGACGCTGAGAGGCACTGATACAGGAAAACGAACCAAATCTGAACCCAAAGTGTCCACATTTGAGTCTGATGCCTCATCTATTCTCTACTCTCCAGACCTGTGCAATCAATATGGTGGCCACTTGACAGAGACAGCTTTGAATTTACCTATTAATAATTAAAATAAGTAAAGGTACCAATTCACTTCCTCGGTCACACTAGCCACTCAAGTAGCTACCTGTGGCTGGTGGCGCCCATACTGGACAGCACAAAGAAACAGCATTCTTGCAAAAAGTTCTACTGAACAGAGGTACATTTGACACATTGCTCTCAACCTGCTAGAGACCATCCTGAAAACGAATCCCAGAGAATTATGCATCACACAAATACAAACAAAGAAACCTGGCATATACTTTCAGGGATTTTAGGGGCGGCTCCCTGTTACCTACTTACCTATGGAGCAGAAGTTAAGACCCTTTACAAAATTCAGAAGCTGCAGGAGCAGTCTGTATTTAAATAAGAACCAATCAGTTTACTTGCTACATTCACTTAGATTTGCTATTCTAGGAGAAATGAAAGATAAAAATCTTTGATAATAAGCATAAACAGGCAAACAAACATGTATAAGCTATGGCCCCAAATGCTGCCAAATTATATACTAGGTTTCACAAATTTGCTAAGAAGGACCTGACCAGAATAAAGCAATGCAATCAGGTTTACTCTTACGGTGTGGACGGAAGCAGCTTTGAGTGCCTCAGTTAAGATGGAGTGAGAAAGAGGACCGATCAGCCGGAATCTGTTCATCTCCATAGTCAAATCACTGAAAGAAAGAGAAGGGCTTTATACTGCATATAATGTCTGTCTCACTGACAAAAACAGAGCCCGCCTTCACTGAAAACGTTCAGTAGGTTCAGAGGAGGTTCAGCCCATACCGGATCATGATGCCTGTGCTTGGGGAGAGCCAAGAATATGGCTGAAGTGGATCTCTAGTTCCATCACCAATGACTTTTTTAACTGGTTGAGCGTTTTCCCCATCATCTTTCCGTTTTCTTTTCTTGCCGATTTTTTCTTCAGGCAGGTCAATCTGGCTTTTCTCTTGAGACGGTGTCAAAAGGGGATCTGGGATCCAGACAGTTGCCTTGGTAGGTTCCATACACTGGCACACTGCTTTTACCTCCTCTAAGATATCCTAAGAACACGTTCAGACATTTTAAACTCCGAATTTAAATACAAGTTTAAGTTGGTTTAGTTTATTTTTTCTACCTGTAAAAATTTATATGCTTATATCACAAAAATGAAGCTAAATTTAAAATTGTCAAAAAGCTTTTTTGATTCCTCTGAGTAGTGCTTGACACATAAAACAACAAAAAAAAGAACTCCTAAAAGTCCAAAATTAATGAAAACAATGTGACTACTCTGACCAATTTTTTTAAAAAACTAGTTTAAAGACGAATTTGGAGAAAATTTACAGTCTACTGTATGAAAGCAATGAGTATGCTAAAAGAGGGAAGCTAAGCTAAATGCAGTATTAAAAAATTATCAGAATTACTCAAAACAGATTCTCATCATCAAACTGGCTCTAACAAGCACATGAATACAATGAACCAATTCAGAATGATGGAAGCGTTAGTTCTATGCACCATTTCAAGCCATTGTTATAAGACTGGTTTCATCTCTACTTCTACTCAGGGCTTACCAAAAGTCAGGTCAAGATTTGCTTCACTTATTAATATTAACGTAACTATCCTCCCTATATTCCAATACCGAGCAATCAGTCAAACTTTCACACAATTTAAATTTCCGTAGCACTGATTTATAACAGTAATCAAGAATCCAGAAACTGAGTGATGAGAAATAATGTCAAGGATTATACCTGTTTAAGAGCTGGATGAAGCCAGATCCACAACTGCCTGCTCTCAGCAGTGTCACCAGGCGTCCCCTGGGCCTTCCACATAAATGTCACAGGACCCAGCATTTCTAGGGGATATTTATTTGCCCTGTAAAGCATGACGCTCCCTTGGCACTTTCCAGACAAATAGTGGACTGCAGCAAAAGTCAATCCTGACATAAACAAAAACAAAATTCCAAGATTATTTAATGTCTATCTTCATGACAGATGAGGTTTTAGTTTTGCTCGTTGCTTAGATCAAACCCTGGCACATGATAAGTTCTCAAATAAATTTATTGAGAAAATGATTTAATGAATTTTGAGTTTCTTCCTACCTAGATTTACTACACCAGAATAATGGTTCTCTCACTTTATACTCAGCAACGTTAGAAATGATTTAATAGCTACCCCAAATTTTCCTTACATGAACATTCTTGTTAGGAAGAACTATCTCTGTAAAGCCTGTTTAAATTCCAAAATATTTAAGCAGACACTTGTTCATGAAATGAGTAAATATACACACTTAAACAGGACTCAGCTTTGAAACAAGTTTACCTGTGTCTATGCTACACATTGAAGAAAGTGCTTTTAGTATTTCTTCCTCTTTGCCCTTCAACTCCAAACAACAGTAGTAGGATAAATCCTATAAAAAGAGGGAGATACTATTAAATACTTGAATTTCCATTTAAAATGTAAGTGGCAGTGTCCTACTTTTCAGAAAGGAAATATGTTTTTTCCTATATTCACAGATAAGTTCCAAGTGATTTGTAAAAACTACTGCCTTTAAGGATTATCCCGCCCCCAAATCACCTAAAGTGAAAAATCAAAGTAGAATAAGCGAGACTGTAATAAATTCAGCAAAATTATGTTAAGGATGCTCACTTTGGTTAGCTAATTTAGGACTTTAGGATTATTCAACGCTGAGCCTAATGACACATGAGGCAATTTATCTCACATTTCTTCCCTGCTCAGTCTCTCTCTTTTGTTTGTTTAATATTATTTATTTGGCTGCTCTGTATCTTAGCTGTTGACATGAAGGATCTAGTTTCCTAACCAGGGATCAAAACTAGGCCCCCTGCATTGGGAGCATGGAGTCTTAGCCACTGGACCACCAGGGAATTCCCATCCCCTGCTCAGTATTAACCACGATATCCAACTTTGACTAAGCAATGTACAAGGAAAAATGTGAGTAATGAGAATAAAGTCTTATCAATTTAAATAGGATGAAGAGAGCTCAGACTGAGCTAATAAAATCAATTATGTTAAAGACATAATAATGGTTAATAGTTACTGAAAGGTTACTGGGTGTCAGAGCAGGGTTAACCCTGTACTGGACTGTCATTTAATCTTCCCAACACCTGCTGATCAGATGCCAGCATTAACTTATTTGCCAGGTGAAGACATTGAGACAGACTGCTACTTGAGCAGTCATGTCATCAGAAAGTGGAGAAGCTGGCATTCGAGTCAGGCTCACTGACCCCCGAGCTAACCCCTCTGCCACAGCTCCTGTAAGCAAATCCAGTACACACAGAAACTAAAATGCAAAGTACAGCAAAGGCTCCGACAAACTCATGTTCATCTGTGCTGATAGAAATCTTTCACCAACAGTGATCCACTCCCAGCTGTCAGTGGCAGATGAACCCAACTAGAGTGTGTTCAACTGGCTGACAACAGAGAATGATGGTTAAGAGCATGGAACTCTGGAGCCAGACTGCTAAGTTACTTCAGTCGTGTCTGACTCTGTGCGACCCCATAGACAACAGCCCACCAGGCTCCCCCGTCCCTGGGATTCTCCAGGCAAGAACACTGGAGTGGGTTGCCATTTCCTTCTCTAATGCATGAAAGTGAAAAGTGAAAGCGAGGTTACTCANCGGCAGCCCACCAGGCTCCCCCGTCCCTGGGATTCTCCAGGCAAGAACACTGGAGTGGGTTGCCATTTCCTTCTCTAATGCATGAAAGTGAAAAGTGAAAGCAAGGTTACTCAGTCGTGCCCGACTCGTAGCGACCTGATGGACTGCAGCCTACCAGGCTCCTCCATCCCTGGGATTTTCCAGGTAAGAGTACTGGAGTGGGGTGCCACTGCCTTCTCCAGGAGCCAGACTACCTGGGCTCAAATCCCAGCTTCACCACTCGTTAGGTGTAAGGCTATGGGTAAACTGCCCAACTTCTCTGTACTTCAGCTTCCTCATTTGTAAAATGGAAATAATAGTAAACACTTACCCAATACTGTTGTTGTAAGGATTAAGCGAGTAAATATATGTAAAGTATTAAAACAGACATTAAGTATTCAAAATATTTATTACTAGCTATAATTTTTATTACTTAGAACTGATGTAAAAGAAAGTATGGGATAACCTCAGCAAAAATTCTGCCCCAAATGAGAAGTAACTATGTCTGCCTTAAAATCTGAGTGATGGTAGTGGAGAAAGCATGGACCAGGGGAGTTGGCATCCAAGAGCTAGGTAGGTCACCAACAAGCTGTGTGGCCCTGGGCAAGTCACTTGATCACTCTGCATCCCAGTCCCGCAATGTAAAATGAAGACTTTGACTCTAATCCATGATTTCTGCTGCTGAGTCTTCAAATCAAAGGCTCTTAAGAGGTTCCTGTATTTACTTTATACCCATTAGGAAGGCGATTATCAAAAAAGAAAAAAGAAAACACCAAGTGTTGGTGAGGATGTGGAGAAACTGCTGATGGGCATATAAAATGGTAGAGCCTCTATGGAAAACAGTATGATGGTTCCTCAAAAATTTAAACCAAGAACTTCATGAGCCAGCAGTTCCACTCCTGGGTATGTACCCAAAAGAACTGAAAGCAAAGAACTGAAGGGATGTTTGTACACTCATGTTCACAGCAGCATTATTCACAATAGCCAAGAAGTAGAAACCAGCCAAGAGTAGATCAGCTTTGATGGATGAATGTATAAACACAATGTGGTATAAAATACAATGGAATATCTTTCAGCCTTAAAAATGAGGGAAATTGTGACACATGATACAACATGGGTGAACCTTGAAGACATCATGCTAAGGGAAATAAGCCAGTCTCAAAAATAGAAGTATTATATGATTCTACTTATGTGAGCCACCAAGAGGGGTCAAATTCATAAAGATGAAAAGTAGAATGGTAGCTGACAGAGACCGGGGCGAGACAGGAATGGGGACTTAGTGTTTAATGGATGAGGAATTTCAGCTTGAGGAGACAAACAAGTCCCGGAGATGGATGGTAATGAATCACACAACAATGTGAATATACTTAAGACCTAAGTAATAAGTACCACGAAGTGCAGACTTAAAAATAAAATGGCAAATCTGATGTTATGTCTTTTTTACCACAATTTTTTTTCAGGTTCTTGTATTGATTATTCTGCTATATTGCTCTCAAGAGGTATCAGAGGATGCTAATACTAACAGCTTTCTAAAGTTGGCCAAGACCATCCTGCCATTGAAAGGCCCTCTGCAAAGAAAAGATTGCTAGACATGTACTGAAAAAGAGAGGAAGCAATTTCATGCGGAGATGGGGGGAGTGAGGCAGGCGGCTGGGGTGGAGGAGCTAGGACAGCCAAGACAGACAAAGACTATTATGCAGCTCTAAAATCAACTGTCCTCTCAAAGGCTTTAAAACACACTTCCCAGCAGAGATGTTTCTCAAATATCTATGGTGGCGAATGACTGCTAAATGAATCAATGCTGAATAAACCTGGAGCATGACCAACACGACCCCGTGGGCTCTGGTTTCTACTTGTTTCTCCAGAACTAATCTCACCCTAATGTTGGGCCTGCTCTCAGTCTCTTCATCTTTGTCACACTGCGTTTATTTCAATCCTTCCCTATCTGGCTGCCTTCTACCTTCCCCACTCTGGCAATTTCTTATCCCTTAGAGTTCGGCTGTAGCTGCACTTGCATGGGGAAGCACTCCTGTTCCCGTCATGAATACTCATAGTATTGCAGTTTTCCCTTACAACTGAATATCAGGCTAATTATCTGACTGTCAGTCTCCCCCCAGAACTCTAGGCTGCTTCAACTCCAGCATCTAGCAAAATGGTTCTCACCCAGTAATTATTTTTAAAATACATAATCTTAGGGAGGGCTTTGTCCTACCACGAGCTCTTCTAAAAGGGTTGGGAAGAGCCTAAATAGAAACAAAGGGGAGTGCGCCGAGTGGCAACTGGCTTCAGAGAGCGTACCTGGAGGAGGCAGCGGCTCGTCATGGCCCGGTAGCAGGCTCTGTGGCTCTTGACTGTCGGCCTCTCCCCTAGGCAGTAGCCCCACCTCTTGACCATGTGAAACCGCTTCGCGTGCCAGATGTGAGTTTCCAGCCATTTGTTCTTCTTCTGTCTCCGGTTAAATTCCAGTATGCGGTTTATGTGACATCGTCGAGCTTTATGGCACTTATTTTTTGAGTGTTCTTTTTTCTGATGAACCGCTTTCTCTGCCTATAGTTTCAAGAAGACAGGCAGATCCCGGTTTGTGACCATCTCAAAACAAAGTTAAGTGTTAGGAATTCAAAGAGCTGATTTCAGGTGAAGTGAAATACCTTACAGACTCCACTAGTTTAATTTTTTAACTTGGTGATTTTTTCCAATGAAAGTAGAGGAGGTCGCAGAAAGAAAGAAGATTTTAGGAAAAGGCAAACCTAGGAAGAAAGCTCAGTTCTATCGCTCACGAACTAGGCAAACTTTGGGGCCAGGGAAGATTAGAATATTTACAAAATGTTCAACATAGTAAGTCAAACTGATGTGTAGCTATCAATATCAGACAGCAAGAAAGAATAAATCAAACGCTAGCTCTTCGTTGTTTTCTTTCTATAGTTTTTTTAACCTCGAAGATCATAATTAAACCCAAAACTAAAGACCAAAAACATAAAAGTGGGAAAAACCTACACAACTCATATCACTTAAGTACTGAAAGACAAATGCTAAATGCAATCATAAGGAAACAGACTTCCCATTAAATCTAGAAAGTACAAAATTCCTGTTTAGTTTTCACTCTTCCTCTCTTCCACAGTTAAGCTAAACTTCTGTGGGAAAAACTCTTCTCCATTAGTTTGTGGGCCCCTTAAGAATAAGGATTTTACCTTAATGGATTCTAACCCCACCACCAACGCCATGCCAGTACCTAGAAGGCACTTGATAAAGAAATTTTGAATCAATTAATGAAGACAAAGGGTGTTTGGACAATCACAGAATGACCAAACCAAGAATTTTGGTAAAGCCAAAAATAATAGGACTTGAACAAAAATTAAATCCAAGTTCAAGTTTTCAATTTTAAAAAAGACAAAAAGCAATCCTTTAAACTTCTAGCTCTAGACTGGTCACACTTCAAAGTGCAGAGCTAAATTACTTACCTGGTAAGAAGGTCAAAATTTATTTTAAATCTGACTGGGAAACACCAAATGTTTAACATCATAAAGAGAGAGAGGTTTCAAATGCTATATTTAAAAGTAGCTATAATATCCAGCAGCATGCTAATTTTGGGGGTATGGGGTTAATGGGGGAAAGATAATGATAAACCAAAAAATATGCAAAATGAGTATGTTGTTTCTTAGTTTTCATTTTAATAAATTCTATTAGGCTGCTGCTGCTAAGTCGCTTCAGTCGTGTCCGACTCTGTGCGACTCCACAGACGGCAGCCCACCAGGCTCCCCCGTTGCTGGGATTCTCCAGGCAAGAACACTGGAGTGGGTTGCCATTTCCGTCTCCACTTCTATTAGGCTAATACTTCTCAGTTTCATTAAAGAACTACTAACCCAAACACTTACACTAAAGGACTCTCATACCTCTTTCTGGGCAATCTCCCGTAACCGCCGAGGAAGGCGTTTGACATTGTGGCTCATGGCTCTTCGTCTCATGTGCCGTGGCAGAGTCTGGAAAACCAGCGAATTAGAAGATTTCTGGGTCACTGCTTTCAACATGGCACTGATTTCAGCAGCTCGGGCTTGAGCAAAAGTAGAAGCTGTCAAAGGAAATAGCAATGCCATTAAAAACTCATCTTGAATCAATACTTTTCTTGGTAGATTTCAGAAAGAAAATAGATTTTAAGTACATGCACTTACAATTCATCTGCTATGCTAACCCCCTAATAGATTAACACCAACAGTAGTTATTTCTATATTACATGATTGTGAAACTGTCCTTCAACCTATATTTTTCAAGTTTTCTGCAAGGATTCAGTTCTACTTTCCTAATCAGAAAAAAAAGTTTAAAAAAATAAGCTTAAAAGGTTTTCTTTTTTAAAACAGAGGGCTACATGCAATATAATCACAACCATTCTTAAGTGTAATAATCCCACAAGAAAACAAAGAAAAAACAAAATCTAAGTTTTGATTCCAAGGGTTTTCTTCCTTAATAGTTTCTGCTTTTTTTACAAATATATAACCATAATTATTTTTAGTTTTCTTTATTGAAAAATAGACTTTTTTTTTTTCCTAGAGAATAAACAAAGTGCTGGAGACACTTAAGTGAATTCCTCCAAGAAGGCATAAAAACCATAAAAATACAGAGTTATGAGGTAGTGGGGATGAGGGTGAACGAGGAGGCCTCAGGAAATGAGGCAACAAAGGGCCTGGAGACAGGACCTTACAGGCCTTGGCTGCCCTCAGACTGCGCTAAATTTGGTTTTATCTTTGGAGATGCGTGGGGAAGAGTATGGATGGCATTTTATATTTTTTTAACAAGGATGGGGTGGTGCCAAAGACAACTTTAAGACAAAAAAGACAAATCAGGACCTCTAAGAAGATGGTGAGAGAGAGGGGGGAGAGCAAGCAGGCCCAGGCAGTGAGTCCAGGCTGCAGGTGAGACACGCCTGAAGTGAAAGTCGCTCAGTCGTGCCCGACTCTGAGACCCCAAGGACTACACGGTCCGTGGAATTCTCCAGGCCAGGATACTGGAGTGGGTACCCTGTCCCTCCTCCAGGGGATCTTCCCAACCCAGGTCTCTCGCATTGCGGGCAGATTCTTTACCAGCTGAGCCACCAGAAAGCACTAGAAATCTGGCTGCAAGAGAAACAGAGCTCACAGTCCAACCACGCTTGGCCTCCGTACAAACACCTACCAGTTATATACTTGGGAATCTCCTGAGAAGTGCCCTCGGGACCCGCTTTCCATCCTCCCTTTTTTCTAAAGGTTACCCTCGAGGAAGGCTGCTCTTTCGCATCAGACTCAGCCGGCGGACGGTGGGTCGTTCTGGTCTGCCGCTGTCGGGAAGTTCCAGGATGAGACTCTAGTATGTTTTCAAAAAGAAAATAAGAAGAAACAGGTCACTTTTGTCAGAGATAAGGATGAGAGTGTTGGGCGACAACACTGATCGGGATTTTAGCCCTGTAACCCCTCTGTAAGGTGGCTATTCCTGTCCTCCCCCGCAAGAGGAGGGATCCCAGGTGGGGAGGTGAATTGACTTGCCCAAGGTCACACAGCTAGGAGGCGGCATGCTAGCTAACCATGTCCCTGTGACACACGGAAGCACCTTGGATATAACAGATACAAGGGAATTTTCTCCATATAAATAGCACAATGTGAATTTTACACCCAAGTTCCCTTAAATATTACAGTTCACCTGATTGTGCATATTTAGTCTTTCATCTTAATTCTCTGGTACACTCCAACAGATAGCCACTATGCTAAGAAAGAAATAAAGGCAATTTCTATACATATGCCTGGGCATTCAAACCATTCTGACTTCAAGATATCATCAAATCCCTCTCTGTGAACACAGAAAGATCAGTGGAGACTTTCACTGCATTCTTGCTTATTTCCATTGTGGTGACAATTATTAAGCCCTTATAATCATGAAACATGTTGCAAAGTCTGTCATTGTGAGATATAAATGAGATATGTGTTAAGGCTTCTCACCTGGCCTGTTGGGCATCAGTGTTGCATCTCAATCTATTTTCTATTTCCTGTTGTTGACTAATAAACAGCTGTCCCCTTCACATCACCTTGTAAGATTTCTAAAGTCAGTACAAAAGTTAAATGCAGACATGATAAAGGCATTGTATTTCTTTTAAGAAACATACCAGTACAGATAAAATGTATCAGCTCTAAAATACGTACAGCCAGTTCATTATTCCCAGCCGCTATGTTCTAGAAAGTCGCAGCCAACAGTGAACCAGTGAACACCGAGCCCTTGCTCCTAGAGAAAACATGTACGTGTCCATGCGTGTATGTGTGTTACATATATCTCAGAGATTACGGTCTTAAATCGTGAGAACAACTCAGTCTTTCCTTTCTTTTCCAAAGAGAAAATGAGGTTCAGAAGTGTTAAGTGACTTGCCTGGGGCGGCCGCACAATCAGCACTCAAACCCCTGTGAGAGCTGGAGTCTCTTAACACTACACAGCCCTGCCCCATCAGCCTCCTCCCTCTGGTAAGAAGGTCAAACAGGACAGCACTGGGAACTCCCCTGGAAATACCCGTATCAGGTGAATCAAAAATTTTCCCACTCTTGGCTTGACCACCAAAGTGCCATGAGGATTAACTTTGGGGTTACAAATTTAGCACCTAGGAGAATTTGCAAATACAAAGCTTGCAAATAATAAGGGTCAATTGTATCTATTTTTAATCTAGCTCCTCCATCACTTAGATTATGATTACCAAAGGAACTGACAAAAGCAATCTGATCCACAGGGAAGTGTCTGTAGAGAGTACCATGTGTATCTTACCTTTTTGACACTGGAAAGGTTTTCCACCTCCATTATGGTGCTTTACACCACTGTCAGCCACAAAGCCAGAGGATAAAGTCACATTGGTGGGCTGGTTTCTCATTTTCTTTGCATGTTTTCTTTCTTTTGCATTAGACATTTCTGGAAAGAAAATTAAAATAAACTTTGAAATAAATTTCAAAAGTAAAAATAAATTTAACGAATAAATGTTCATGTGACTTAGAATTTGAATCTTCAATATAATACATCTCCATTTATTATAGACGGGTTAATGACACCAAAATGTTATCATAGGGGACTTCCCTAGTGACTCAGTAGTTAAGACTTGGCCTTTCAGTGGAAGAGGCGCAGGTTCGATCCTGGTCGGGGAGCTAAGATACCACATGGCCAAAAGACCGAAACATAAAAACAGAAGCAACACTGTAACAAATTCAATAAAGACTTTAAAAATGGTCCACATTTTAAAAAAAAACTAAAAAAAAAAGTTACTGATACTGATTGACAGCAGGGATTTATAACCAGAGGGACTAGTATTAACACCAAAAACTCTTCATTCAACAGAAAAAAATAACTGTGTTGTACTGTAAAATAATTGAATCATGTACCAGGGTTGACACTGCATAAAGTTTGTTGGCGGGATGAAAAATGAAGATAAGATCCCTAGGACCTTGTAAAAAAATTTAATTAGCTAAAACAGTTTATCAAAATTAAGTGAAACAAGAGCCACGTGAATCAATGAAAAATGAAATTCACTATTCCAAGATGATACCCTCACCAAAAACGGAACATAAATTACTAACATTTTCATTTCTACTACTGAGATGAGGCCAGCTGTACCTTTAATCTAGGACAGCAGAAGATTTCAATTTAAAGGACAAAGGGACAAAAACCTAGTGGAGCCTGATTCCACAGCGGTTCTCAGCTCTCAAACTCAACACCCCCTTTCTTTTATTGAAGAGCTTGAAACACCTGTCTTCTATTTTTAAATGAAATTCATTAATTATATAACCTACTAGACACATAACTTTTATCAAAACAAGTCCTATAATATGTGCTCTCATTGTGATGTAGAAAGTGAAAGTGAAGTTGCTCAGTCGTGTCCGACTCTGCGACCCTAAGCTACATGGACTGTAGGCTACCAGGCTCCTCCATCCGTGGGATTCTCCAGACAAGAATACTGGAGTGGGTTGCCATTTCCTTCTCCAGGAGATCTTCCCGACCCAGGAATCGAAGCTGGGTCTCAGGCATTGCAGGCAGACACTTTATCATCTGAGCTACCAGGAAAGCTCCCATTGTGATGTAAGGGAGAACTAAAAGTAATTAGTGAAGTGAAAGTCACTCAGTCGTGTCTGACTCTTTGTGACCCCATGGACCATATAGTTCATGGAATTCTCTAGGCCAGAATACTAGAGTGGGTAGCCTTTCCCTTCTCCACGGGATCTTCTCAACCCAGGGATTGAACCCAGGTCTCCCACATTGCAGGCAGATTCTTTACCAGCTAAGCCACAAGGGAAGCCCAAAAGTAATTAAAACAATATCTATTTTCTGTATGCAAGTATTTCACAGAACTACATGACATTATGAAATAGAGAGGTATGTTTAACCCAGGGGGATAATCACAGACCCAGGCACCAACAGAGGCATGGGCCCGATCTGCAGAGCTGAAGTGGGATCCTAGAAGCCCCCACACAACAGTCATTAACTCTTTCCTTGCTGACTGTAGGGAGGGAAGGGTCCTGCAGGAAGGAAACACTAGGAGGCTGGGAAGCTCAGTGCAGCCACAACCAAGCTATTCTCCAAGCATTTAAATGTTTTAATACTAGTCTTTACTCATACCTATACATAGAATTACATGCCCGCAACAGCTACAAAGGCAAAGAGATACAGGTGTATACCTGTTAAGACAGGGTAGTAATGCCACTGGCGACATGGTTCTCTAAATTCGTAAACACTCTTTGGTAAAGTACAAATTTTATTTTTAAAGTTCAATCTTGCCTTTTTATTGTATTCCTGGAAAATTCAGTGCATATTAAATCCATGCAGCCACTTCTTTATGCAAAGCAGAGTCAGGTATTGTACACTGCAGGATGGGTAACATCCCTGGCCCCTGTCTAGTAAATGGCAGCAGTGTTACCCCAATCACTATGCTGACCACCTGCACAGACTTTCAAAATTTACATCAGGATTTGCACCACACCTGATGAATGCCACTGGGTTAAATTCACTTATCTTCTTTCCAATTCAATACTTCATACAAAATTAAGAGTAATCTATGTGGCAGAGTGTTTAAGAGCCTTTACTTCAAATGAGAAAGACCTCGATTCAAATATCTTCCTTAACACTTTTTAGTCATATAATCTTAGGAAAATTATTATCCCTTTTTGAGCTTCGGTCTCCCTTTCTATAAATGAGAATAATCTACAAATGGTTGTAAGGTAATGTACCCAACACAATGCATGAGGCTCTGCATATACTAAGGGCTCAGTTTATGGTAACTCTTATATAAAAAATGAAGTAACAGAAATGTACCTCATTTCACTTTCTCACTCCATTCTGTTTTCACTTACATGAAAAACAACTTGATCTGTACTCTAAAATATCTTCCAAACTTAAAAATATGTAGTGAGTAAACGGAGCTCTGCAGAACACGTTGGTTAGTAAAGGTCTTAATTCAGATCAGACTGTATTAAGAATCATTCAAAATTACCCTACAAAACAGTTTAATCCACCTGAATCAGAACTTCCCCAGCAAAACACACCACTACCTAGGAGCCCTGGCTGGGACACCAAATTTAGGGATCAGAAATCATATCTCTGAGCTTAGGTTTGAGAGTAGAAAATAAGCAGATTGAATTAGCAAGGATTCTCAAACAGTTCAGATGCCAGAAGAGGATGAATATAGAATACATCCTTATGAAGTCTGAGGATTTAGTTTAAAATAGCTTCCAGCAGGAATTTTAACTCTTACCTTTAACATTATGTGAATTTTACATCTATTCCTAACAGTCACAGTTTTTGTTTTCATAGCTATTTTAGTCAAAACTTTATGAGCACTAATAAGTATGTGCCAGGCTTTATAAAAGTATTTTCTCTCAAATATTCATATAAATTGGACATGTCATGTTTTCCCATCCAGTATATTATCCCCTGGCTGATCAGACACAACCCTTGGTAGAGTAGAAGCTGGTTTGAAAACCAGGGAATTAAACAGGTGATCTCTGATTTCTTTTAATCTAAAAAACTGGTGACTCAGATTTAATAAAAGCTGCATAAGGAATACAGGCATGCTATTTCACAAGAAATATTAATATTTCCAGTTTACCACAGTTCAGTTGCTCAGTCATGTCTGACTCTTTGTAAACCCATGGACTGCAGCACGCCAGGCTTTCCTGTCCAACACCAATTCCCAGAACTTGCTCAAACTAATGTCCATCAAGTCGGTGATGCTATCCAACCACCTCATCCTCTGTCATCCCCTTTTCCTCCTGACTTCAATCTTTCCCAGCATTAGGGTCTTTTCCAATGTGTCAGTTCTTCGCATCAGGTGGCCAAAGTATTAGAGTTTCGGTTCAACATCAGTCCTTCCAATGAATATTCAGAACTGATTTCTTTTAGGATTGACTGGTTTGATCTCCTTGTAGAGATCTACAAGAGTCTCTCAAGGGTCTCTACAAGGGTCTCTCAAGAGTCTTCTCCAATACCACTCAAGTTTAATTATCTGTAATGCTTCAAGAGAGTGCCTATTTAAAGAATCATATGGTGAAGTGTTTTGTAAATTAAAAACACCTCCTAATTATCCAGTTTAATCAAATTTAATAAGCTTGGAGGTACCTACATGTGCTTAATAGCTTTGGGTTGTATATATACCAAAGTAGCACATGGGTGCGGCATCCTTCCTTAAAGAATTACTCATCTTAAGCACCAGTATTTATTGAGAACTTCGTGTGTCAGGCCCTATTCCCCAGGCCTTACTCATCTATTCTTACAACCCTGTGAGGGAAGCACTAACAATATCCTCATGTCGTAAATGGAAAAAACTGAGGCACAGAGAGGTAAAACTAAGCCTGTGACTGTGCGGGGACTCAAACCAGCCGGTCTGGCGCTATTCACTATTCTTAAAACAAAAACAGTTAGAGAACAAGACCACACACAGTAAAAGATGAAAGGGCTTCCCTGGTGGCTCAGTGGTAAAGAATCCGCAAGAGACTTGGGTTTGACCCCTGATCCAGGAAGGTCCCACAAGCCACGGAGCAGCTAAGCCCCTGCACAGCTGCTGAGCCTGTGCTCCAGAGCCTGGAGCGGCAACTACCGAGACCGCGCCCGAGAGCCCGGGCTCTGCAACACGAGAAGCCACGGCGGTGAGACGCCTGTGCCCGCAATGAAGCAAGTCCCTACCTGCGGCAACTAGAGGAAAGCCTCAGCAGCAACTGACACACAACACAGGGGTCTAAAATGAACAGGAAAAAAAAATTTTAGTCTTTTAGACCAAATTTTGCAGTACAGCACAATAGGAAACAGGATAAGGGAAAGAAAAAGTGTGAATCTACAGGAAAAGTCAATGAGAAAATAAGATTTCATTAGTCACCTGACCTGCCTCTTGAGCAATCTGTATGCAGGTCAGGAACAAACAGTTAGAACTGGACATGGAACCACAGACTGGTTCCAAATAAGAAAAGGAGTACGTCCAGGCTGTATATTGTCACCCTGCTTATTTAACTTATAAGCAGAGTACATCATAAGAAACACTGGGCTGGAGGAAGCACAAGCTGGAATCAAGATTGCCGGGAGAAATATCAATAACCTCAGATATGCAGATGACACCACCCTTATGGCAGAAAGTGAAGAAGAACTAAAGAGCCTCTTGATGAAAGTGAAAGAGGAGAGTGAAAAAGTTGGCTTAAAGCTCAACATTCAGAAAACTAAGATCATGGCATCTGGTCCCATCACTTCATGGCAAATAGATGGGGAAACAGTGGAAACAGTGGCTGACTTTATTTTTCTGGGCTCCAAAATCACTGCAGATGGTGATTGCAGCCATGAAATTAAAAGATGCTTACTCCTTGGAAGGAAAGTTATGACCAACCTAGACAGCATATTAAAAAGCAGAGACATTACTTCATCAACAAAGGTCCGTCTAGTCAAGGCTATGGTTTTTCCAGTGGTCATGTATGGATGTGAGAGTTGGACTATAAAGAAAGCTGAGCACTGAAGAATTGATGCTTTTGAACTGTGGTGTTGGAGAAGACTCTTGAGAGTCCCTTGGACTGCAAGGAGCTCCAACCAGTCCATCCTAAAGGAGATCAGTCCTGGATGTTCCTTAGAAGGACTGATGTTGAAACTGAAACTACAATACTTTGGCCACCTGATGCAAAGAGCTGACTCATTGGAAGAGACCCTAATGTTGGGAAAGATTGAAGGCAGGAGAAGGGGACAACGGAGGATAAGATGGTTGGATGGCATCACCGACTCAATGGACATGAGTTTGGGTGGACTCTGAGAGTTGGTGATGGACAGAGAGGCCTGGCGTGCTGCGGTTCATGGGGTCACAAAGAGTCGGACATGACTGAGCGACTGAACTGAGTTGGAACTTAGGGAAGAAAGTATTCAAGAATCTGCTTCGTGACTTCAGGAGTAAGGACGCTAGATAACGAGAGTGGAGAGAGACAGTAGGAGAGGACAAAACTGAGTAGGCAAGGCTTGGAGGCCAAAACTCTAAACCATGAAAAAGCTCTGAAAGTTCTCGAGTCAGAGTTAGAAAGCCAAAACCCCACAGTATGTAGAAAAAGAGGTGGAAAAAAGAGGATTCTCTTATGTTTCAGAAGCAGGGGAGGACAGGGACTTTTGCCAGTCTTTTTCACTGCTGCATCTCCAGGACCTAGCAGAGTGCCTTGCACAAAGCAGGGGCTCAATAGACATATTTGCTGAATATACATGTGCATCCATAAAAGAAGAAGTGAAACGTGCCTATAATGCATATTTTAACAGTAAAAAATATTTAGCCAAGTACCACTGCTTCTGATGCTGCATGACTGAATATCTGCCAAGAGAACAGCTCTGGGGCCATTTGCTGCACCAAGATCAATAATCTCCTACTTGAAATCAGATGCCAGTCACTAGGCTTCTGCAGAGACATCCTGTAAATCTCAAGGGGCTCTCCAGAGGAGGAAGCATGGGGGGGAAGGGGGGGCAGGGGGGAGGTGAACAGTGCCAAGTCTCCTTGAGGTCCTCCGAATGACCCATCTTATTCCTTCAGAGAGTGCAAGCCCAGTCCTAGGAGAGCCTGGTGGGGCAATGCAGAGAAACGACAGACAGAGTGGGCTCAAGATCACAGGGGCCGAAGTGTAAACAGATAAAGTAGGGGTTCCCCAGAAAAACAACCAGACAAAGCATTCTTGGCATTAGAGAAGCCATTTCTTGCCTAAGCCATTTTGTGATCTAAGCCTGGCCACAATGCTTGTCCATGAACAGCATGGCTCAGTAATAATGATCCTAATGGACCTAAAAAAACGATCTTAAGATCCCCTGGAGCAGGAAAGGGGCTTCCCTGGTAGTTTGGACAGTAAAGCGTCTGCCTACAGTGAGGGAGACCCGGGTTCGATCCCTGGGTCGGGAAGATCCCCGGCTGCCCATTCAGTATTTTTGCCTAGGAAATCCCATGGACAAAGGAGCCTGGTGGGCTACAGTCCATGGGGTCTCAAAGAGGGTTGGACACTGACTGAACATCTGAAAGGGACCTAAAAAACAACTGTTATCAGGCAGGAGAAGTAGCAATAATAAAAATCAGTTGTAAACTCCCATTTCTATTTTCTGGACCAAGATTAGCCTGAAGCATGTTCTCCAGCTGTTTTGCAGAATTTGAACCCCCTTGGGCACTCAATCATCAGATCAACTGGGATGATGATGCCGACCTTTCTTATGACCCCCTCCCTCCCCCAGAACCCGTGGCTTCCACTAAAACTAGAACTGTTGACCTTTGCCACAAGTCTATGCTGAATTGCCTTCCGCTAGAGCCCCTTCTTGAATATGCATGTATCCCTAGCTTAAAACCTGGAGAAGGAAATGGCAACCGACTCCAGTATGCTTGCCTGGAAAATCCCCACGGACGGAAGGAGCCTAGCAGGCTACAGTCCAAGGGGTCGCAAAAGAGTCGGACACGACTCAAGAGACCTAACTTACTTTAGCTTAAAAGGTCCTGGATTTCTGTTGGGGAGACACTGCTTTGGGAAAGATCCCCTGTATTCTCCTCACTTGAAGCAAGTAATAAATACTTCTTTTCGTCTGCCTACAGTGAGGGAGACCCGGGTTCGATCCCTGGGTCGGGAAGATCCCCGGCTGCCCATTCAGTATTTTTGCCTAGGAAATCCCATGGATAAAGGAGCCTGGTGGGCTACAGTCCATGGGGTCTCAAAGAGGGTTGGACACTGAACATCTGAAAGGGACCTAAAAAACAACTGTTATCAGGCAGGAGAAGTAGCAATAATAAAAATCAGTTGTAAACTCCCATTTCTATTTCCTGGACCAAGATTAGCCTGAAGCATGTTCTCCAGCTGTTTCGCAGAATTTGAACCCCGTTGGGCACTCAATCATCAGATCAACTGGGATGATGATGCCGACCTTTCTTATGACCCCCTCCCTCCCCCCGAACCCGTGGCTTCCACTAAAACTAGAACTGTTGACCTTTGCCACAAGTCTATGCTGAATTGCCTTCCGCTGGAGCCCCTTCATGAATATGCATGTATCCCTAGCTTTAAACCTGGAGAAGGAAATGGCAACCCACTCCAGTATGCTTGCCTGGAAAATCCCCACGGACAGAAGGAGCCTAGCAGGCTACAGTCCAAGGGGTCGCAAAAGAGTCGGATACGACTCAAGAGACCTAACTTACTTTAGCTTAAAAGGTCCCGGATTTCTGTTGGGGAGACACTGCTTTGGGAAAGATCCCCTGTATTCTCCTCACTTGAAGCAAGTAATAAATCCTTCCTTCTGATCTTTGGCTTCATTGGGTCTTTTTGTTTCGTGTTTTTTTTTTTTTTTTGGCTTGACACCCACCAAGACGTGACCCCAGTTCTCTGGTAAAAGTAGGAGGTGCCAGGCGGGAAGAAGGGGCCCCAGAGCTGACAGCAAGGGAAGAAGAGGAGGTTATAGCTGGGTGTGAGAGAAAGAACCTGAGAGGAGCCCGGTCAATACTGGGGACCCGCAGGGGGCGGCCACACACTCTCTCCCACATTCGCGAGCCCTGGAGGACGCCAGCCCATCACGACCTACCTGCCAGACGCCCGGTGGGAGGAAACCAGGACTCCCCCCCGAGTCCGGATGACAAGGTTCTGCCACAGTCACCAAGGACCCCGGCGCGGAGAGCGAACTGGAGGGCGCATGCGCTGGTGTGACCGCAGCCTCCACGTGGCCCGGAGTCTCACGGAGACTACAACTCCCAGAGGAGGCCCGGAGTCGCACGGAAACTACAACTCCCAGAATGCCGAGCGAGCCCCCGGCGAAGCTTTAAGGCAGCGATTCTGGCCCCGGCTGGTCAGTCAGGTGAGGCGCAAGTGAGAGTTGTATTCTGCGTAGTTGTTTCCGAGGGGAGCAAGGGAAAAGGGTTAGCCATGTCGTCTTTGGTCAGAAGGGTGATCAGCACCGCGAAAGCCCCCGCGGCCATCGGTCCCTACAGGTACAGGAGGGCTGTGGGAGCCGAGAAGGACTCGAGGCGTTTGGGGTCGCGACCCCGGGGCGGGGACACGGGGCGTGTGGGGTGGGGGTTTGGGGTTTGGGCTAGTCCGAGTCAGAGCTGCTGCGGACCTCGGGGTTCACTGTGCCCGCTCTGACTGAACCACTCGGTGCAGGCAACGCACCGAGAGACTCAACACCAATTGTGTTATAAAATTACCAATTGTATTTAAAGTTATAAAGGAAAAAAGATGTGAGGGGAGACGTCATGAAATAAAAGGGGAAAGTTGGGAGCGTGCTGGAGAACAAAATGTAGGGAACTAGGACATTAGAAATGAGAATATTTTCTGAATAACCGTGAAATGGGGTAAAACAGATTTTACTTCTAAATTTAAAGTGAAGTTAAGGTTTCTTTATAAAAAATTTTTAAACATTTAATGCCATTGAAATGTGTACTTAAAAATGGCTAAAATGAAAAAAAAATTGGTTAAAATGGTAGGTTTTATGTTTAGAAACAATGGTGGGACTTTTTATCTGAGAATTAATTGCCTTTAAAGTTGATTTGTTTGGCTTTCTTTCAGGTCTCAGTGTAACTTATGCCCTTCCCTGTGATTTTGTTACTAATTCTGATATTTAGTTTCCTCACTACAAAAATGATCAGTTAAAGTAAACTGTGTATCCTTCTTGACCGTCAGCAATGATTAACCTTGTCTAATTACTTATTGTCTTGAGTGCTTGGCTGTGCTTTCTTTTGTTGGTTATGGGATCTTAGTTCCCTGACCAGGAATTGAACCCTGCCGCTGGAGTGAAAGTGCCAAGTCCTAACTACTGGACCCAGAGAATTCTCTGTTTAGTGTTTAAGAAACTCCCAACTACTTTCCAAAGTGTGTGTACTATTTTGCATAACCACCAACAAAGTTTGAGGGTTCCATTTTCTCCACATCCTCATCCATACTTATTATCAGTCATGGCTTATTGTGTGTAATGTGGAGTGGCTTTGGTTTGCATTACTCCTTCACTCTTTGTATGTCTTCTTTTATGAGGTGTCTGTTCAGATCATTTGCCCAATATTTTGCTGAGTTGTTTGTCTTTATATTATTGAATTATATAAGAGTTCTTTATATATTCTGAATACAAATCCATTGTTAAATAAGTGTTTCACAAATATTTTCTCCCAATTTGTGACTTGGGTTTCCATTTTCTTAAAAATGTCTTTCAATAAGCAAAAGATTTTAATTTCCATGAAGTCCAGTTACCAATTTTTTATTTTATATTTTGTACTTTTTGTATCTTAGCAAAGAAATCTCTTAGCATTGAGTTTTACATTTTATATTTTACATCTATTGGATTTCTGTTCTTTGCAGTCAGGCTGTGTTAGTCGACAGGACCATTTACATTTCAGGACAGCTAGGCATGGACCCTGCAAGTGGACAGCTTGTGCCAGGAGGGGTGGCAGAAGAGGCTAAACAAGTGAGTCATTTTCCACATTTGAAGTTCCCTTTTATACTTCTTTTTCATCATATTGAGAAATATTAAGAATCCATTTGGCTGATTTGTTTTGTAGAGATTATCAGATAGATGCTTTTTAAATTATTGGTTGACTTAAGACAGTTTTACATCAATAGAAAGTTGGAAATTTGATGAATCATTTAAAAACCTAAAAAAAAAAAGATTTTACTTGCCAAGGTGACTTATTGGGTATTAACTAAATTTACTGTGGTAATCATTTCACAATACCTATATGTATTAAATCATGATGTTATTTACCTAAAACTAATGCAATGTTTTATCTGTTATATTTCAGTGAAATGGGAGGGAAATTGTGAAAGCAACTGTGAATTGTGAAAACATCTTGCCACTTCCACATGAGTTGGGAAATTTTTTTAGGGCCAATGACCTGCAAAAATAATCCACCACCACAGAAGTAAAAACCAGTGTTTGTTAGAAAGAGAGAAATAGCAAAGGTTACATGCAGTATGCAGTATATTTCCTAAAACATTAATAAGGATGGGGGTGTAATTCTAATCCAATAAATAGAATTAAATTATCATTTAGTACATTCACTGAGTCATTTGTGATGTCCAAAGGTAAAAAATAACCTAAAATTGTGCATCATGAGGAACTAGCTAAAGAAATCCTGCTAGATCTGTACAACTAAATTAATATGGAAATATCTTCCAGATGAATTGTTATATAATAAAACCAAGATACAGAACAGGTTGCACAATAAGCTACCATGTGGGTGTGTTTGTCTCTGTCTGTGTCTCTCTGTCTAAGGATATATACATTTATGCTGGTATAGGCATTGGCTGTCTCTGGAAGGATATACAGGAAACTAGAAACAGTTTTCTAGTGGCTGCCTTTGTTGAAGGAAAGGGGAGGGGGAGTAACGGTGAAAGACATCTTTTCACTGTGTATGTTTTTTGTAGCTTTTGAATTTTTTGCCATATCCATGTATAACCCATTTAGAAGATTAAATTTTTAAAAATCATCAACTACTATAATGTGACCAGTCAAAGTGGAAGACTGAATTAGAAAAACAATAAATTAAGGACAGAGTGAAAAACTAATGCTTTTCCAAAGACCAAAGTGTCAAACATACACAAAATTTACTAATAATTGTTTTTTAAGAAAAAGAACCTCTTTAAAAATATTGCTTCAAAGAAAACAGGTTTTAATGCTTACTAGCTCATACTTTTCCTGAAAGTGATACAGAATTAGGAGCCCCAGTAGTTATTTCTGTTTTATCTTAGTTGACATTGGTTGAGAATTTCACAATTCTAGCATTGAGGAAGAGACTTCAGTCTTTCTCCTCACAAAAAGAGACAAATTCTCACTATATTTCAGAAAGATTCATTCCATCAAAGAAAGCCAAGAGGCAGTTTACTTGTATAGAGGTGGCTTGTGAAGAGTGAATTTCCTAGAAAAGGAAGATTTCTCTGCAACAAAGGAAGTACTGGTGAAAGATGGTTAACGGAATTGAGTTAAATCTCCCATGTGGCATCAGTGCCTAAGGGCTGTCTTGCCTTGGTTCACAGGCTCTTACAAACATAGGTGAGATTCTGAAAGCAGCAGGCTGTGACTTCACAAATGGTGAGCAACTTCAAATTACTCCACATTTCTGTTTGATAATTTTTTGGTCTTTTGAAAGAACACATGGCATCTGATAATTTGTCCTGCCATATCTTTTGTTGTTTGAAGTTGGCTGAATTTCAGTCCCATAGACACGATACCAACGAAAAATTAATCAGTAGTCGATCTAGAGCCATATACACAATATCAGTAAAAAATTAATCAGTAGTCAATCTAAGAAAAAAATGGAACATTTTATTTGACCCAACCGGAGGATGATACCTGGCAGACAGTCTTGCAGAAAGCTCTGAGGACTATTCTGAAGAGGTAAGGGGAGAGGCAAGCATATACATGACTTGGCACACATCTTGGCAGAAAGTTAGTGCTATTCGTGAGGAACAGATAGCTAAGTTAATGGTTTTAGTGCTAGGTATGGGAACATATGTAAAACTAGATTCATAACATTTTCTCCTGAAAATATGTATATGGGGGCCAGTTCTGCCAATTTCCCTAAAGCACGAAGTGCCTTATCCTGATCTTCCTGAATTCCTTTCAGGATGTTTTGTAGGTCAGCGACTACAGTGGCTAATGAGTTGATTCTTGTAGAAGTGGATGCTCCCTTTTGATCTTAATTTCAATCAAAGTTTGGGAGGTATTTCATGACCATTTTGTCCCCACAGGGCTAAAAATGCTCATTGCTAGGTCGGGCAAAGACTTTGTTGATATGTCACTCAGTGTGCTATTAGTGGACTAAAGCTCTGTTAATAGTAGCCAGAAGCCAGGAAACGATTCTCTCTTCTTGCTGCTTCCCATATCTAGAGTACAACTATTATAATCATCAATCTTGAAGAACTGTACTTTAGGTCAATAATTTCAAGTCATCTAGTTTTTTTATTGGAGACTCAGTCACATTTGATAATGCAAGAAACAATAATCTTGCAAAATAGAACACAGGTAATATAGCTAGTGACATGAATAAGCTCTTAAGTAAGTTATGTTATGTTCTAGGGAGTCACATGGCTAGCACCAGCAAAAGAAGAATTGAACTTTATTGTTGAACAAGTATTTCTGTTGCTGAAGTGGTCTGGCTAATGCTCTATGAAGACACCCAGTGCACACTAGAGGGGAGGCAGGAGGACTAAATGGGCAGAGAAAAGAAATTTTATGTTAACAGTTTTCTTGTCTTGCCTTAAAATGTGAATTTTATTTCATCACTGCCATTTTTCTAAGTAATGTTTTCTAATGACAATGTATATATCTCCTAGTGGTAAAAGCAACTGTTTTGCTGGCTGACATAAATGACTTCAGTACTGTCAATGATGTCTACAAACAATGTAAGTTATCTAGCTTTGTTACTATTTTATGTATCTGTTGGACTCCCCTGATGGCCCAGCAGTAAACCACCCACGTTGCAGTGCAGGGGATGCAAGTTCAGTCCCTGGCCCCAGATGATTCCATGTGCTGAAGGGCAACTATAGACCCAACATAGCCAAATAAACATTTTAAAAAGGTATATATTAACCTTAATAAGTGTCCATTATAAATTAAGAAGGGCTTTCCTGGTGGCTCAGTGGTAAAGAATCCACCTACAGATGCAGGAGAGGTGGGTTTGATCTCTGGGTTGGGAAGATCCTCTAGAATTTAAGAATATTAGATATTGTAAGACTCATGGCAAAGTATTTTGTCAAACAAATATGAACATGAGCTGCTTTTTTCCAGTGTTGCTTGTATCTAAGAATTGACATAGATCTGAATCACTTACCAGATTCTTGATCCTGCCGTGTTGAATTACAAAATAGTATCTGAAAAAACTAAAATGAAATTCTTTTAAATTAGATTTCCAGAAGAGTTTTCCTGCACGAGCTGCTTACCAGGTTGCCGCTTTGCCCAAAGTAAGTACACATTTGTCTTAAAAATTAAGAAAATTAAAAAATTAAAAATCAAGGCCACAAGCTTCCCTGGTGACCTAATGGTAGGAGTCCACTGACCAGTGCAGGGGACATGCATTCAGTCCATGGTCTGAGAAGATCCTACATGCCACGGGGCAGCTATACCCGTGTGCCAAAACTACTGATCCTGCGTGCCTAGATACTGTGCTGCACAACAAGAGAAACCACCACCATGAGAAGCCTGTGCTCTGCAACTAGAGAGCAGGCCATACTCGTCACTACTAGAGAATAGCCCTTGCAGCAATGAAGACTCAGCACAGCTAAAAATAAATAAATAAATCTTTAAAAAAAAATAAGGCCACACATGAATGTGAATACAACAGAATCATTTTACTTATGAGAAGTAAAACAGCAGCTGTATTGTTTTGCTGTTACTTAACAACTATAAATTGAGCCAGGTCTGTGAGTTCTACAGTTAAAATTTTAATTTTCTATCATATAATAAAAAATCTAGGAAATGCCCTGGCAGTCCAGTGGTTGGGACTCCACGCTTTCACTGCTGAGGGCCCGGGTTTGATCATTGGTTGGGGAAAAAGATCCCACAAGCTGCATGGCTTGGCCCAAAACAAAACACACTAGATTCTCCATTAGAAAAAATCATCTGAAAAACAATGGCTCATAGATTTCTCACCATTCTTACTTTGGTTTTCTAATTGAACTAGAAGCACTTCCTATGCCCCTTAGCAGCATGATATTTCTACTTATAAAAAAGCAATTCTCATGGACTTATACTGGAAATTTTCCACCAAAGAAATTTAGCTTCTGTGAACAGTATTTTTGTTGCTTTGACTGTTACTTGGAATGATCAGTATCATCAAATTTATTAAGATCCAGAATGAGATAGAAGGAGCTCTGAACTTGACATAAGACATGGGTTTGAACCTCTGCCACTTGGCTTTGTGTTCTGGTATGGGTTAAACAACCTTTCTAAGCTTCAGTGTCTCATCCTCTGCACTGAGAGAACTCTGATAATAGAACTGCTAGGGGAGTCACATGAGCTAACATAAATGAACATGCTGAGCACAGTAGCCTAGCCTCTTCTTAGTGATTCTTGGTGAGTGTGCCCCCTCCTTTCCTTCTTTGAAAAGTTTAATGTTAAAAATGCATATGTTTTCAGTAGATATTATGGTGCTCTCTTAATCTGTTATTTTCCCAACAGGGAGGCCGTGTTGAGATCGAAGCAATAGCTGTGCAAGGACCTCTCACGACAGCGTCACTCTAAGTGGGCCAAGTGTTATTTAGTTTGGAAATTTAATAGTATTTTTAAACTAATGGCTTAATCTTTGTTGGAAAGGGTAAGGTTGAAGTATCTGGAGATATTATAGAAATACCATATAATAAGGGGAACTGAACATGAGTTGAAGATTAATGATGAATCTAGTTACTAATGTTATAAATTTCACTTCTATAACACTTGTATTGCTGGATGTGGGAAAACAGACATGCCTTACTTAGTTAACTCAGAAGAATAAAAGAAGAAGGAAATAACATGTAGGAAAGATGAGCTACTATTCCTGAGAAATAAGAAAGAGCACACCTAATTCAACTAAACCCTATTAATTCAATGATGTGAAGTATTTTATTATGTCAGATACGTGATTTTTACTGGAATAAAATTAAAGCATTTAAATTTCAATGGCAGAGATAAAGGAGAAGAAACTGGACCAAATTTTATATATTTTTCTAGTGGAAATAAAATAGCATGCAGATTTTCCTTGGTGTTATTCCATTCACTGATTTTTTTAACAGTTTAATTTAGATATTAAATTACATTACCTAAATAAAGGTGAAGAAACTATGAAGTTTAAACTCTCAAATATTTTTTCTCAAAGTTTACTTCTGACTTTACATTTTTACACTGTTGTAAAGGCTCTGTATAACCATTTTATGTTTGTTCTTTGAAGTCTTTTCACATAGAAACTACTACATGAATACCTCCTTGTTGTAGAATAAATTCCAACACAGAATTTTATAGATTTAAGAAGTAAAAGTTCCCTTCACTCACTGTCTATTTCACTTACCTCCCCAAAGACAAACACTGCTGAGGATTCTGAGTGAGTGTAACCAGCAGATAGTTTTCTATCCATTACATACTTGATCATCTAGTTTGGTTTTGGCTTATTTATATAAATGGAGCTTTAGTGTATATATTATTCTACAGATTGCTTTCTTCTTGTCTTGAAGGTTTTCCATATAGATACATATTGATCTACCTCATTTTTAAAGCTGTTGCAGACTTCTTTTGTGTAGATACACCTTAGGTGAGTTTAACCATTGTCCAAACAATTCCATGTTTACAAAATTACCATATCAGTGTGCTGTAACATTCTTACTTACACATGTAACATTTTACATATACCTATTTGTTTCAAGTTGTTTTAGAAATATCTTGCTAATTTGTAAAGTTTGGTCACCAAAAGATAATGTTAGAAGCACTTCTGAAGAGCAGTTTTAAGACCACAGACTTTGGAGTGATTCCAGCAGGCTTCAAGGCCCGGATCTACCACTTATTAGCTCTATAACCTTCAGCTAATTATTTAACCTCTTTTAAGTCTTAGTTTCCTGAAAGATAATAATTGCACCTTCTCAAAGTAATGTCGTAAGGACTATTCAACATTAAGAAGAAAAAAAACTTAAGATCATGGCCTCTAGTCCCATCACTTCATGACAAATAAAAGGGGGAAAAGTGGAAACCATGACAGATTTTGTTTTCTTGGGCTCGAAAATCACTGTGGATGGTGACTGCAGCCAGGAAATTAAAAGACGCTTGTTCCTTGGAAGGAAAGCCATGACAAATTTAGATGGCATATTAAAAAGCAGAGACATCACTTTGCCGACAAAGGTTTGTATAGTCAAAACTATGGTAGTAGTCATGCACAGTAGTCTTGTACAGATGTGAGAGTTGGACCATAAAGAAGGCTGAGCCCGAAGAATTGATGCTTTCAAACTGTGGTGCTGGAGAAGACTAGAGATGAAACCAATCAATCCTAAAAGAAATCAACCACGAATAGTCATTGAAAGGACTGATAATGAAGCTGAAACTCCAATACTTTGGCCACCTGATGCAAAGAGCCAACTCTGGAAAAGACCCTGATACTGGGAAAGATTGAAGGCAGGAGGAGAAGAGGACAACAGAGGACGAGATTGTTAGATGACATCAGTGGCTCACTGGACATGAATTTGCGCAAACTCTGGGAAATAGTGAAGGACAGGGAAGCTTGGCATGCTGCAGTCCATGGGGTCGCAGAGTTGGACATGA